CATGCTATCAGACCATAATCCCTTCGCGACACGGCAGCGCTGTTCGAATGTCATTTGGCTTCATCGTATCAGCTGCAGCAGATGCTGACGCTGTTTTTTTTTAAATTTCATACTAAATATCGAATGTTTGCACGATACAATCGATGGCCGCCTCAATGGAAAACGAAGTCACTCTGACTCCCGAACGTTGCACCCGTTGAAAACAACTCATGGGTTGGTTAAGAGTTGAGTACAAAGAAGAAATATGAATAAATAAAGCGTTCAAAAGCAGATATTATGATTTCGAACTTCTGACATCCATAAAAGCTTGGAAAAGGTACCGATTTTGCAAGTAAAGCCAGATTTTGATAAGAATGAAAAGTTACGTATTTAATCAGTCATCACAATATGACTAGAATTTGGTGGATTTGTTCTACTTAATAAAGGACTGCATCTTCTACTTCAATTTGACTTAGGACGTCATCGATTCGCCTTCTTTGTACTTTTGAATATATTTTTGAACGATTCCTCATCATCCTTCATCCGCAAGCGGTTGCTCCATCAGTCTACAGCATATATGAAACGCCATATCTGTTAGACACATTATGGGAAGCAAATAGAAGCTGCACACTGCATTCATTACGTGGCTATGAACACTGACTTTAAATAACGTCTTCCTCACTGATAACATAGAAACAAAGGACATTGTTGCAGCATGAGTTAAATCGCAAGAACAGCGCAGGAATTGTGCCGGTCTTGGAATTGAAAGGGTGACCAACATTCTGGCAGTGACAGACTTTCCTTTTCTGATCAAACTCGTGATGCAAAGATGAAAGGGGAGTGGGTAAAATACAACGAGGTAGCTCGTTCCAACTGTGACTTAAGTCACATCGTAAACTATACGATATCTAATGATAAAATATGAGTGCATTAGAATTGTTGGACTCATTTCAGTTCTGACATCTTCGATAAATTGCCGCATTAAGAAAGAAATGTGGTAGTCTCTATTATGACTACTTTGGTCAACTTTATGGCAAACAGCATAAGTAGTTCTGCAAAGCGATAAACAGGCAAGCCTCAAATTTCAAATCTTCATTAGGGTAACTTCGAAGGAGCGCTATCGGCTCATATCTTTAAAAAATACATTTCATAAGCAGGAGAATATCTGTCAGCCTTCGGTTAATGCAGAGTTATTAAGCGAATTTTTAGGCATCGTTAGTAGCTTTCGCGACTGACCTGTGGTTAGGAGGGATAAGAAAGAAAGGAAGGAAAGTTTATCACCAATCAAATGTCTGTTTTTTTCACTTTCATGATTGGACCATTTCGCTCCTTTCTTTTCATGAAGTCGATGGTGCCCTGCTGATCTTCGTTTCTATGCCATGCGTCAAAAGAGCTTTACTTTTTAAGGACGGAGTCTACAGCGTGGTGTGTAGTTTTCTGATTCCTTTTCGCAGAGTGGCACTCATCTACCATCTTCAGACGGAAGAAGGGCGAGTTGCTCTGACAGGAACTTGATTTCAGGACCACTCAGTTCGACGTCGTAGCAACGGCTCAAACCCAGTGTAATGTGTGATAATTTCCTTGATCAAAGAAAACGTGAATAAGTCAAAGATTGCCATCAAACGGATATGAACCCGGTCCTTCCGGAGTTCGAGTAAGCTCGATTCTATTACCGTACGACGCGAAGACGCCGGGAGGGATCTACTCTACTGTTTGCATCCTTGATGTGCATTGCGACCCTTGGTCGTTTCTCGTTATGACTGACTTGAACGTAACTTGAAACCTCTTGAACGCTTGTGCTAATCAAAAAGTAGAACAAATGACGATGAACAAGAAAATGACGTTATCTCATTTTTTTCGTTGACCGTAATATTCGAAGTTCGATATACCAACGTCATGCTGTATCTTCTTATTATGTGAATATTTAACTCGCTTAACAGAATGCTTTTCAGGCTTCAGGAACGGGCGCCTCGCAGTTTTCCATCGATATTTGAGCAATTGCAGGCCACTTGAGCAAACGCAAAGTCCGAAACTGCAGAAGCCGATCATTTAACTATAATGTACTGAAGTATCGTAGGACCCTGCCCTTCTCACTTGAGTACCATTAAGCAGCGATTCATTGAATCTGCAGGGTCTTCGAACATTTTAATGCTGTATGAAACCAGTCACAGCTACCACGTCTTCTTACCCGCCTATTTACAGACTCGTTTATTTAAAGAAGCACTGTGTAATCAAGCATTATCGAACTCGTAAAGGACGAGGAACAACGACTAAAGGCTTAGATCACATGTCAGGGCAGACAATACTACAGAGTTTATGTTCCTGCGTGACTAAGGTAGAAAGGACCTGTTTTTACAATCGAAAAGGCTGGTTAAGAAGAACCTAGTAATCATTACTGACAAGGGCCCTTATGGCAATTCAGTTCAGAAGAAAGACGATCTGTTCATAAACCTGGCCGGAAGATCTGAGAGCAATCACCTGTATCAGTTCATGAGAAAGCGTGACGAAATCTATCCGCTATCGCGTCTATCCTCTGAAGAGAGTACGGCCGGAAGATCCAGCTGGGTGTTTCTGTTGCAATTGGAGTAAGCATGATTTCAGACAGTCGAATTTACTTAAGAGTACCGCAAGGAACACGATTAGTTAGCAAAACCTGAAAATAAATGAACAAAGATTTGTCAACAAAACAACCAGTGAAAAAAGGATTTATACCATACTGACTAGGAGCGGCCTGAAGCAATTGTTCTTCTTTCTTGGGATCAATCAGACACTGCACAGTGAACAGAATGATTGACCTGTAAGCCTCAGCCCCGTACCTTGACTCGTATTCCACGACGAGACACCGTTGATCGTTTTTGCATACCTGAAACTTCTTATAATAATCTCCACATCGGGTGAAGTTGATCCACGTTATTATTCCACCGCAAATGATTGAACTTTCTCGTGATGATGCAAACGAAGTTTTCTAAGCCGAGGATGGTCACATTGTTAGTGGAATTTAGCAAAGTTTGTTGTGAGAGGATGACGCAAGTGTCATGGTAAAGCAGCAAGGTTAGAATAGCATCGGGAAAATCGAACTTTGGCAGGATGGAGCTAAAACTATTGGCAATCATGTCTGAAAAATGCAGGATTATGACCAATGCCCATTACACAACGGTTTACCATCCTATTTTCTGCAACGACTGGTCATCTCGATACTTCCATGGGCTGCGAGAGAAAGAGTGAGAACGAAGCAACAAAAAGCCAGGAGTTGACACGTGTTGCAACAATGTGTACGCGATGTTGACTCACATAATAACGTTGATACCATGAGAGATATCTGGCTGGGTATTGCAGGAAACTTCGTCACACTCCTCACCGCACGTGATATCTCATTCGAGCTTGAGATCGGCAACGGCGTAGTAGATTTTGAGAATCTACAGTAATAAATATTACTGACACTGTCGTCCCTTTGAATGGAGGTAGGCAGTTATGAGGTATCTGATGGAACATTAATGCCCCCATGGACGGCACGTATGATGAACTCAACCAAACAACACTACTATCATAATGATCGCATAAGATCAGAAAATCTAGCGCATGGCAAAAGACAACAACCTCGCCTGCCATCTGAAAAGAAAATGACAACTAAAGAAAATGAAGCCATGTCAGTCTAATAAGTGACCGAGTCCATTACTTTGTCAAGTTTGAGAACGATAATTGGATTCGATAGCGAAACAGTACATATATTGGAGTAAATGAGGCCATGCACTTAGTTTTCTCTAAAGAGAAAATAATTGCATAAAAATCTCATCTGCTGTACGAAGGGAGATGCCGTATGGAATGGTTTCACCGACTTTCTTGGAGGATGGATATCAGACGTGACTTCAGCCATTTGGCATCGGATTTCTGTTAGATTATTCAATCCATATTAAGAAGCATCAATTAAGACATGCTTTCATTATACCGTTTGTCTTTTGTTC